GACTGTTAGCCGCGTATCATGGAAAACTCATAAGAAATTATAACTCCAACATCATTGAATTTCATAATTGATGTATGTCGAAAATCTTTTGTAATAATTATTGTAAGATTCCAGTTGCCACGATTATCATCGACACATTATGGATGAAGTTTTTTGTTTTAAAGATACTTCGATCTATGCGATTTGCTTGCATGTGTATGTGTATCGTCAATGATTTCTTCCACTTCTATTTTAAGGACAATTGCTTACTGTACTCCATCTCCATGTCAAATATATTTACCCCTAAATTATTAATTAGCTAGTTGTATCGAGTAAAACTTTGTTTGGCAGAACTTATTTAAGCTCTATAAATTTGAAAAGATAAAATTGTATTTTCGCTACTAATTTGGTTTAATATTAAGCGCTTAATCCTAACAACGGAATCATAGCTAGTCACACGATAAGTGAATTGAATGCGGAATATTAAAATCGGCGCTCCTAGACCGTTCCACTTTCACTACTAGGCGCCCAAAAATCGGCTGGCCGCCTAGGCGGCGAAATCAGCCTAACCAGCCAACTCGACCGAGTCGATCAATTTCTTCCGATGTCGTCTAGTCCAGCCGTCCGTAGACTAGTTTGATACTTTGAATCTTTGAATGATGGAAGTATTTGAGTATTTCATATTTGAGTATTTTTATTTTTTAATATTATTTTGATATTATGACTTATGAATTATCATTATTTCATTTATTTGGATGTGTTATTTGATTGAATGTTGAAAACAACCTCATTAAAATTATCAAACTGCAAGTCTCCCACTATTTTTTTGGCGCGTGGTGCTGCCCGGGCGCTCGACTAGCGCCTAGCGCCTACTGCAACCATGTTGTCAAGTATAATCTTCGACATAATAATCACTTAATCCTAACAATTGATATCAAATCAATTCACGTGCATGATAAAATAACACCTTTAATTCGCTATTAAGTATAGATTTCGACACAATGCTAAGTTTTTTTTTTTTTTTTTTTTTATTTTTATTTTTATTTTTTTTTATCTTTACAGTCTTACAAAAGATGAGATTACAATACTAAAGGAAATATGAAACGTAAATCACTCCTAGCTACCTAACAGGTTAGCTTAGTCAACTAATCCAACACCACACAATAATTAACTATAATAATAACAAATATAATAAGGAAATAATAACATTATTAACAGCTTTCGACACAATGGTAAGTTTTTTATCTTTACAGTCTTACAAATTTTAATCTATATATATATTTTTTCCATAAATTCAGGCACATTATAAACCACACAATTTTAATAACATTGCAACTATAATGATTTTAGGAGGTGTCATATTTCTTTTTAAAAATTATTTCTTGCATATATTATTGAATTCATACTTCAATCAATTAACTAATCTTTTATTTATTTATTTATGAACTTTTATTTTGGCCCTACCATTTGCTCTTTACACATGACATCTTCATGAGATTTGATAGTCAACGGGGAGGAACAAAATCTTATATGTTCAAGATTCAAATATTCTGGAGTTACAAGACAATATGGAACTGAATCTGACTTCTTTTATATTCAACCACCTTTTTTATAATATATTTTATTTTTAAAATTTTAAAATTTTAAATTTTAATTAATAATTCCTTAAAAAATTTCTACCTGCAATAACTGTCAGATGATTAGCAATAATGAGGATGGCTAACCATAGTTTCCGCCCTGGCCGACTTGCCCTATCACTAATTAAACAAATGATTAATGGATCTTAAATATTAATTTTGTGATTAATAATAACAAAATGTGTTATTATAATAACAAAACAAAAGTGAACTCTTGACCTTTAACGTAATTAAGTATATGATTAAGTATTAATCCAATTGTATTACGTTGTTTCCCTCGACCTATACCATTTGCGTGGTTGGTGGCAGCTTATGTTAATCCAAATAATGATGTTCCTTAAGAAAGATTGAAAAAAAATAATAATAATAATAAAGTGATGAATTGTAAGTTGATTGGTAATGTGGTCAAACTAAAAACTTCCAACATCAAGTAATCATATGGGGTTTTATTTAATGAATTTGGTGTCAACTTATTGTTGGATATATATTAGAAGGGTTGGTTAGCTTCTGCAACTCACTGTATTTTATCTATGATGTCGAATTTGAGACCTTATATAGAATATAATATTTTTTCACCTCAAAATTTACATACAAGTGGATAATTCAGGTCTAATCTCTGTGGTTCATGTTCAGTTGAGAGTTACCATGATTTACATTCAGGTCTAATCTCTGTGGTTCATGTTCAGTTGAGAATTACCATAATTTACATCCTCCCAGATGCTCTGTCGGGCCGGGGTGTGGGGGCACTTAAGGTTGTTCAACCTTTTGGAAAGAAGGATAATTCGTATTGATGGGGATATACGATGCATATATGATATTTACTAATTACTTTCAAGCTCAATGTCCTTGTTTGGTAAATGGTTGTTAGCTGTTAGCTGATTGTGTTAATTAGAGGGTATAACTAGATGATAACATTAGTTGTTGTAGAAAAGTGTTTGGTAAATTAACTGTTAGCTGATAACCGTTTGGTATAATTTCTTTTCTGAAAAAGCTAATTGAAAAAGTTATTTGGAGTAGCTTTTTGAATTTTAACATTTTGAAGTTGCAAAAAGGTAATTAACCAAACAGTTATATTGATATTTTAACTAAATCAAACAATTAATAGTGGTCAAATAAGTCAAAATTGGCATATAGGCCAATTTTTTACTAAACAAGGCCAATATATAGTATGCTTACCGACCTGCTAAACTAGCTAGAAGGTGAATCCTACCCTAACAAACAAGCAACACCTGAAACGTTCTCTCAGCTGTGGTACACATCCACATCTCCTTAGCACTCAAATGGCCACATGTAGCACGACCGATCTGACTGATCACCTATATATGAGAGCGCCACATACATGTCCTTTATCACTGAGAATTTTGGTATGTGTTCTCTGCCTCAATGCCATAAAAGTCGGCTTGCTTTGTAGAAGAGGGGATTCCAGCGAAAAACATATCCTTAATACTTCCCAACCTGCGAAGAAAGTAGTATAGAAGCTAACTCGCTTTATTTGAAGAAAATGAGATTCCAACAGAAAAATATATCCTTAATTAGTATATATATAAAATTTTATCTTCTACCATTATATGCTTCGACTTTAGAAAATAATAAGAAATACTCCGTAATAAATTTTATTAACTCTGATTGGAATGATGCTCAAACCTAAAACTTTATTTATAAAAAATAATATTGATACTATCAAACCGCAGTATATTAAAACATATAAAAGCAACCTTTTGTCATAGTTGATATGATAATATATGATTTCATGAGTTGTTGGAGAACGGTGGCGTTGCAGAGAGAATTTTGTACCAAACTAAATTAAATAGCTAGTCCATCTACCATCAAGATGGGCATTGTAATGGTTTTTTGGCCCGCATGGGTAGCTCAACTGGTTATAGAGGTGAAACTTTGGAATAATGACCAGGGATCGAGACTCACCAGCGGCAGTGTGAGAGCAACCTCTCAAAGTGAGGGGGCTCCTTGTGCGCAATGAGCACCGGTCTAGCCTCTGTGGTTCATGTTCAGTTAAGCCACCATGATTTACATCCTCCCAAATACTCTGTCGGGCCGGGGTGTGGGGGCCCTTAGGGTTGGGGTTCAGCCTTTGGAATAATTGTAATGGTTTTTTGTTATTACAAGCCACAACATAATGGCCATTATGGTCTATTAACTTGCATCACTTTGATTTAATATACATTATATTTACCTAGTTTTCAATGGTAAGAAAAAAAATCACTTTTAAACTAAAGTACCTAAAATTTCACCTCTTTTTTGAAAAGTTCACCCTATTGTTTATATTTAATTTGGGTATTGTTATGAGACACATCTACTAAATTTTGAACCTGTTGGAGTGTTGGTCCCTGAGACTTACAAAAAAAATGACATTTTGAATTAAAAGTGATTTTTTTTTATTAGTATGACACCGATATCTTCTCCAAAATAAAACTAATTTGGCCTAAGCCAATCTTCTTGCATTACAATTACATTAGTAACTTGGTTCTTAACTGCCCCAAATGGCAAGGTTGAAATATTTTTTAATAGTTAATGAGTAAGAATAAAACAAATCAAAATTGAGAAGAAAAAGTGAAAATGACAATACAATTGGTCGATCAAAAATAAAATATATGGAGTAATAAACTATTGAAAAAGCCAACAAAATTATTTGGAAACTCGGCCTATATTTAAGTCCAACTTCATTAATTAATTTTTCTTACTTGCATCATATATATGAGATTAATATTTATCTTGACTATAACTCTTTTTTTTTTTTTTTTTTTTTTTTTTTAGATGATGCTATTTAGGGTGTAAGTGCTTTAATTATATTTGTGTATCATACCATGAGAAACATTGCGTTTAGAAGGCATAAAGAACAAAATAGCTCCAAGATTATCTTAGTGTTTTGACTTGGCCTAATAGATCAAGTCGGTCGATGTAAAAATTAAATACTAATCTCCCTTTTCAATGACCTTTCCACGACTCTATCTTGCCCATAAATCTCGCGCCATTTGTTACTGATACATAGTTAACAAAGTAATTAATTAACCATTTATTTGGTAATTTTTTTTAATTTTTATTTTTTTACTTTTTCAAATATTTTCTGCCCAACGAATCTAAGCCTATTGACTATTCATTTGGAATGATAACTGAGATGCCAACACACTATATGGTAGTTGGCATAATTTTCTATTATTATAACTATAAACTATAAATTACAACTCAAACTCTATAGAAATGAGTAGGGCCCACGATCATGTGATGTATAATTAATAATGAACATTACAAGGATATGAAATGAGTATTTTGACTGTGAAGTGTGAACACTAGTACAATACAAGAATTTTTCAAAGTATAGTATAGTATATGTGTATATATTATTACAATATCAGAAACTTTAAAGTGAAAGTAAAAAAAAAAAAAAAGAAGAGTAAAATCCACTTCTCGTCCACATGGACTGAGTGCATCATAGTGTGAACGCATAAAGATTTTTGAAAGGAAAAAAAAAAATGTTACAAAAGAATTTTGGTGACTCAAAGCCCAAGTATTGAGTAAAAAGTCAACACTCAAGAAATTGAGTTTAAAAAAATCAAGGATTCACGCAGGCGGGAGGCGGCGGCCGCCGTGGCCAGACTACCGTTCTCTCTGGCGGTCGTTGAACGATAGCCGGAAAACCCATTTGCTGAACCCTTTCTTCTTTGACTTGTTTGAATGCTGAGGGCTGTGGACCGTCTGATCCTCGTCGGCCGGTTTTAAATCAACGAACGACTTTATCCGTTGCATTGCCAGGTGGAGCGTTTCCTCCGACATGTTGGCGAAGCAAACTCGGAACCAGCCGGGCTCCGTACAATGGCAGGAAGATCCGGGGGAGATGTTTAGGCCGACGTCGTACACGATTTTCTTCCATAATTCGATTTCGGCGTCGAACGTTTTCTCGGCGAGGAGATGTCTCATGTCGACCCAACAGAACAAGGCGGCGTTACTTTCCAGGCATCCGATGCCGGCGTCCTTGAGGCCTTTCACCATCATTGCGTGCCGTTTCTTGAGCCGTTTCTGGTTCTCCGACACGTATTTCCTCGTGAACTTCTTGTCCGACAGCATGGCGGCCAGGAGGTACTGCGTTTGGGACGAAACTAAACCGAAGCTCGACATTTTGGTCGCGGCGGCGACCACCATCTCGTCGTTGGAGTAAATCGCGCCGACGCGGAAACCCGGGAGGCCCAGATCCTTGGACAGGCTGAACACGAGGTGGACGCGGTCCCAGACGTCGGCGTTGAAGTGGTTTCTCCGTTCGGTTAGAACCTCCATGGCGCTGACGAACGCCGGGGAGTCAAAAACGGTGCCGGAGTAGATCTCGTCGCTGATGAGATGGATGCGTTTTTCGTCGATGAATGTGAGGAGGAGATTCAGTTCCTGTCGGGTCAAGGTTGTTCCCAATGGATTCGAAGGATTGGTCACCAGAACGCCCTTCACTTTAAGGTTGCGTTTCTTTGCTTCCTCGTACGCTTCTTCCAGCGCAGACTCTGTGATTCTGAACCCATTTGAACTGTAACACTGTATCGGCACAATCTCCACTCCAGTTCTCCACTTAAGATCTCTATCGAATCTGCATAATCATTAACCACAAATTTAATCATCCACATTTCTTGGCTAAAATTTTTCAATTCAACAGTCTGACCAGCTTGGCTGGAGTTATTCAACTTACCCTGGGTAATATGGAGTTGGGAGCAAGAAAGCGTCGCCGGGGTTGGCGAGGCAAAACATGAGAGTTTCATTAGCGGAAGTTGCGCCGGCGGTGAGGACGAGCTTGCTGGAGTCGAAGGACACCTTGTTTCCTCGGATTTCCGACATGAACTGAACCATAGCCTGGGAGAATTAAAGCAAACAACGTAAGATAATGTAACTCGGCCTGCCAGAACGCCAAAAACCATTAATTATTCTGATTCCCTATATATATATATATATATGGTACTCACGTTCTTGAAAGAAGGGAGGCCGTGATAATCCTGGAACAATGCGAGCTGTCGGAAAACGGATTCCCCGTCGTTCTTGAACGCCGCCGCGTCGGGGTTCTGAGCCAACCACGACTCCAGAAGATCGAACGAAAGCTGGTTCTCCGCCAGCCCCATTTGGATGATCCCTTTCGGATTCCGGGCCTCATCGTACGGATTCTTCTCGTACTCCTGCCACCCCAGGAAGTACGATGAATCCTGTCCGTGTGAATTGCATGCTGCTTTCTCTGAAAGAAGCTTCATTTTCGATCACCTTAATTAGCTTCTGTAAGTAATGCCTCGATCACTTAATCTCTGTAGGTGTCTATATATATTTATATCTCGCCGGAAAACGCTTATATATCGCCGGAAGGGGAAAATTTAGAGAGAGAGAGAGAAAGAGAGAGGATGTTGTGGGTTGTGGTAGAAGGAAGGAATGTATTGAATGAATAGGATGTTGTGTTGTTCTCAGCTGGCATATCCTCGGCCTATATATAGGAGTTTGGCAGTCAAGTAATGACGCGTCAGGATTGGCCCGGAAAGATTTTATTTTTGTCCGGATCATTAATGGAGGGGAGGGATTTCTAATTTATAAAAAATTCGTTATAATTAACGGTTAGAGAGTTAGGTAAATTAAATTATTGAATTATCATTAACGCATTCCATACTTAATTTCAACTAATTAATAATAACTAAATAAACAAAGAAATATCGTCTTTAATATTAGATTTAATCCTACGACTCCATATGCTTAACCATTTTGGGAACATGGTGTTAATTATGCACTCTAATTAATAACCTGGCGCGAGATGCATGGGCAATCAACGTGCCTTTTATATGATTCAGTCAACATTGTATATTTCAAAATTTCTTTTAAGGAAAACAACGTTTTTGACCCCTCAACTATTTTACTTTTACAAATTTAGCCCGTCAATTGATTTGAGCAAATCTAACTCTTTAATTGTTCATAATGTAGCACATTTGGTCCCTCATGTTATATAATTAGAATTGTTTTTAATAATTTATATAATTTATTTATTCAAAATTAAAAATATTTTTATTATAAATAAATACATAATATAAACAATTCATTATTAAAAAAAAAAAAAAAAACAGTCGTGGCTGTCCGGAAGGATGGCCACGGCTGTCTAAGGAAAACGGCCATTGCCGTCTTCTAGATTTGGAACGAGGGCTACGGCCTTCGCTGCCGCCCTCGTTCCATTCCCCTCCGTCTGGAACGAGGGCAGTGGCCATGGCCGTAGCCCTCGTTCCAGATCTAGAAGATGGCCGTCTTCCTTCGTCGATCATGGCCGTCTTCCTTAGACGGTCGTGGCCGTCCTGCCGGACATCCACGACTGCCTGTGAAGAAGACAGCCACCGGCTGTCTGGCGCGGACAGCTGGTGGCTGTTTTTTTTTTTTTTTTTTAATAAAGAATTGTTTATATTAAGTATTTATTTATAATAAAAAAAATTTAATTTTGAATAAATAAATTATATAAATTATTAAAAACAATTCTAATTATATAACATGAGGGACCAAATGTGCTACATTATGAACAATTAAAGGGTTAAGTTTGCTCAAATCAATTGTCAGGGTCTAAATTTATAAAAGTAAAATAATTGAGGGGTCAAAAGCTTCATTTTCCCTTTCTTTTTATCTTTTACAATTTTTTAACATAAATAAATAATACAACCTTCATCATCAAATATGATTTATAATAATGCAATTCTCATTTATTGAGCGAAAAATAGAAAAGAAATCATTATTGATGGTTGGGTAAATTGGCATGGTCGCCTGGCTAGAGAGGTCTTGTTCAACATCAATTGGTTGTATTCGGTCGACTAGTCGATCGACTTTAGGCAATTGGATGGGCTAGCAGAATGACGTAGCGGTTATGAATTAAATTTAATTTTCTGTTATATTTTTCTCTCATTAATGAATGTTTGTTTAAATGTGACAATTATGCTAATAAATTTGATCCTTGTGTAATAATTAGTAGCACTTATGACTATTATGAATTCATAGGTTCGATTTTCTAGCAATTCTAAAGCAATAAAAGTACTATACTTTTGTGTTTTCGAAATTAAACCTAACACTTATTGCATTTCCCCGTTTAGTAAACTTTTTGAGTGATTGACTGATTGTGTTGTATGTAAAACCAAATTATAATAAAACAAAATTAGTTATTACTAAGATGAAAATCTGAGAATTGATCATAAATGAATATATAAATATTTTAAACTTTATAATAGTTATTAATAAGAATCAAAATTAATGATGGGTTGATTTGATATGTATAGGGTGGTCCATCTGCAAGTATAAGGTGGCACAATGCATGTGGGAGTAATATAGATGTAAGTAAAACCAATGGGGAATAAATCATAGTTAATGTCCGTGAGTTTGTACGGCGTTACGACGGAGTTTGCAGATATTATACGGAGGAGGAGGACATTGGCGTAAAACATAACGGAGAAAAGTTAAGTTGGTTGTGCGTGACCATACCGACAGCAAATCTGTAAGACACAGCGGTCGAAATAGGACCGGACCGGACTGGTAACCATGCAGCGGTCCGTGTTTTCCCCGACTGCGTCGGCCCCAGATCTGGTTTTCATGTCGGACGCGGCGGCTCCACCCGGCCATCCCTATATTCAGCTGTTTTGAGTTGGGTTACAGTTAGGTTTTGTGTCATCTTAATAACACTCCGATTTTACTTAATCTATGTAACGTCCCAACTTACATATAGATATGTATCTTGAGATGTCATTCTATGTTTATGCTCCCTTTTTCATTTACAGAGAAACCTGCAATCATTATTGAAAAGTACAATTTGGTTGAAGTTCGTGTTGCAATTAAGTTTAATTATTTTTCCGCAGAACCTCCCCTACAGTATAGTCACCGCAGTAGAGTTTAACCACCAAGTTCGGGATGGATTGGTGTGGTTCCTCTACGCCTAGGACACCGGAAGATCGAATCATGAACGAAGAAAGGCATGAGAGAAAAGCATATTGGCTAGTGATTATGAGGCCCCAATTCTTGACTGGAGGGGACACCAAAGGCCTCTGCCCTTCCATCCCTTGGATAGATGCCATTCCATCCCTTGGTAGAGAGGGAGAGCAGAAGTTTTGGTTTTTTATGTTGTCAAAGAGTTGAACAATGAAAATAGATGGCGAGTGTCTGATCGAATTGATCAGGTCATGTAGGAACAAGACCACAGACTACAAGGAGATAATAAGTTAGTCTAAATTGTTCATAGTTAATCAATTCAAACTGAGAATGTTGATAGACAACTCAAACCGCGAGACCCGGCTAAGCTCTCCTCATTATCATTTATTAATTATTATATTTTAATTTTACTTATAAAATATTTATCCTTCTAATTATCTTTTAACCTAAGAATGAATTAAAACTCTTTATGTTTATTAGCTATTTATAAGTTGGTAAATTCCACCATGAGTTAACAAAGAAATTGTATATACTTATTAATCAAATATGGAGTATAAAAATAATTAACCAACTAACTAATGTCACGTAGAATGACCATTTTCAAAAGACAACTATAGATACAAATTTGATAATAAAAAATATCATCGGATAAGATTCAAAATTAATGATCAAAGTGGTAAAATTACTATTGTTGATGGACTATTTCTATCTTGAGACATTGGTAAATAAATGAAAAAAAAAAAAAAAGAATAAAATGATGCATATATAATACCGCGTAATATTTATTTTATGTTTGGTGGAAATTCAGTTCCAACACTACGCGTGCAGTGGAAGTTAACAAAAATTGTTAAATTTATGAAAAACAATTGAAGTCGCCAACGGTATTAGCAAACTGATTTTAATAAAAGAATGTCGAAGCTATTCTAGTCCAACCGGCCGGATGTTTTTATCATAATCAAAATCATATCCCCTGGGCGGTAAAAAAAAAAAAAGAAAGAAAGGGGACAATGATTCATCATACATGTCAACAAAACTTACTTTCGGGTCGTTAGGTGATCAATACAATCAGAATAAAATATTTATACAGTTTCAAAATCTATTCTTCTCTTTTTGAGTGACAAGGAAATTCACAATCTATCACTATTTGAGAATGTATATTACCTATTTATGTGTAGTGGTAGACTGCACTAAAAAAATAATATACGACAAGGTTCGATCGAAAAAGTATTGACAAGACTTAAACTTGTAACTTTCTAGTACAAAAATTACTATACATGTTCTCGACCCTCCTTTGAAAACAGTTTCAAAATCTATTCTTTAATGTTGAAAAGATTGGGTCTTTACCCACTTTTACAAATAATAAAATAATAAAAGACCATAATATATACTTTTTGATATTATCATTTTTAATTAATATATATTTACAATTCTTTAAATTTAGGGCTTTTTTTTTTTTTAATAAGTATGACTGTATTAAATAAAGTGTACACAAATTCATATTTATATCCATTTAACTTGTATGTAAGATGGGATTAGGTGAATCAAATCCTGAATTAAAATAAAAATAAAACAATAATAATTGCCAAATTAATCACATAATTGGCATTAGCTAGTATTAGTGCTGGTCAGTGCTGGCTTTACTATATTAGTGATATTAGGTGAGTGATAGTGGCGCTCTCGGGTTTGGGACTCCCACATAGAAATTAAGGAGACAGCTCATGATAGATGGTTGCCATGTTTGATGAAGCATCATTTGATCTCTATGTTCTTATTTAAGACAAAGATTTGTTGATGTTTTATGGATAACTAACCTTTTTTTTTTTTTTTTCCTTTTAATAACGTAACCACCCAAAGTGAGATCGAAATCTCACGATGTTAGTATATATATGCCACAATATACGGGGTTGAAGGATGCCTAAATAATTTTTTATAAGGTATTCTAAAGAGGAGGTGGTGAGTTTGCAAGAATTTGTAAACCCTGACTCGATCATGTCAAATGGATAAAGCAATAAGAAGAGTGATGATGATATACGAAGTGTATACGTACTTCCCAATTCTATTCGACCTCAGTAGTGCACCCTTGGCTTGTCAGATGAGGAAATCGGCTCCATCTGGGCAGACCAACCACTCGTGAGGCATCCTCTCAACCGTCTCATCAGTTCGAGTTGACTCAGTATGGACACGTAGCGTGACAAACCTGAGTAAACTATGGGTAAGCACCACATACCTTCTTTGGAGGGAATCCCGGCATGTGTCCCCTCATCCAACATTGCAAAAGCAGGCTCAACCCTCATAGAAGGGGACTTGTGGACCAATACTATCTTAGTATGTACTACTCGACTTATTAAGAG